TGAATTTCTATCGAACGATTAATTACATACAATAAAGATTTATCGATTTCTATATTAAAATGATTGATTGTTTCTGTCAAAAGCAAACACGAATTCATAATTATCGACAAAATTTCTCTGTTAAAAGTTTTTTTTTTCCCCAATTTCACGATGTTTAATCCATCCCTCTCGTTCTAATTCAAACCCGATTAAAACATTTTTACGAACAAACCATCGTGATTACAGCTGAAAATCTCTAGAATTAATTTACATTCATATACTCCTCCCCTACAACATTTTAAAACCGTTCTAAAATGAACGTCGCTATATTTAATACCTACGTCGAATATTTCAAGAAGGGATTAACATTTTTCACTGACTAAAGCCAAGGTATCATTCTGGATATTCAAAAAATTTCAGGCTCCACACTGATACACGTACGATCCTTCTACATAATACACATCTACTAAAGTAGTCGATCTCAATTTTCACGCTTAATTTAATTTCTGTCTACATTCTATCCGAAAACAAAATCATCGTTTCTAAAAACACTTCTTCGCGAAAAGATAAATCCTATTTTAACTAACACTGAAATAGAATGATCAAAAGAAGATTCTCGAAAAGAAAAGACCCATTAACCTTATTTTCATCGAGAATCGTCGCTTCTGAAATTCCTTTCTCCCAAAAACCGGATAAACCTTACTTCACCCCTCCCCTCCCCTCTTTTATAAAACGTCTCGATTCTAATTATTCCCCCTCGAGCAAAGAATTGCGGATATCGAGAAGGATATCAGCGAAAGGATATAAAATATTTTCGCGATCGCGCGCAAACTCCGAATCGAGGATGAAATCCTCGATCCTCCCTTCGCATTATGCGGATCGCTTTTTGCCAGGAGGTGCATCTGGCGCCCGTTTGAACGTCTCTCGGGCTGCAGGACCCCTGGTTAAAAAGCGAACCAGTTCGTTTTCCGATAACCGGGGCCACAATTACCTTCGTACGAGCCTCGTTCTCCTCGATATGCATATCCGACATGTCCCTTTATTTTCACCGAGCTGTCGGTGCAAGGTGACCCAACCAACCTACGAATTTTTTTTTTTTTTTCCCCTCCGATTCCGCACACGAGGGTTTCGTCGAATTTCTTCTCCAGAGGATTGTGCGATTCGACGAAAGAAGTTTTGCAAAAAAAAAAAAAAACGAACGCCAAAATATTTTTGCCACTTCGACGATAATTGAAGAATCGCGTGATTTTTGTGACGAATGTTGACGCGTGAAAGAAAGTAATTCAGAATTGATGATTTTAAAAATTTGCTTAATTCTTAATTAACGATGCAGAGAGGAATACGATTGTTAATTATCCTTTTTTTGCAAGATGGATATGTAAAAGTAAAAAAAAACAATGTACAAAAACAATGTACGCAATATCTAAATTCCATTCCTTTATTTATATTCATAGTTGAATAGAATTTCATATATATATATATATATATATATATATATATATTCTAAAACAACGTAATATAATATAATCCTCTGTCCAAATAATTCAACAATCCTTATTACCATCGATGCGCACTTCTCCCTTCAAATCCAATCAGAACAGCAACCAGCGCGTCGATCTAACGTGACAAGTCAATGACTACGAGTTCGACGACTATCGAAAATCCTGTCCTCGACCTTCGAGATCGACGGCAAAGAGTGACATCTTTTTAACATGGGCATCGTTCGCATCGTTTAAAACGGTCCCGAGGAAGGAAGGGGGGAGAGGGAAGGGGGAGGCGTCAATTTCCAGCACGATTCGTGCTCCCCCGCCGTGAAATTGAAGTTTCCGCCTCTCAAAAGAGACTCGAGCTCTCTCTCTCTCTCTCTCCACACCACGTGCCCCTTCCTTCCATATCACAATCACACGATTGGATCTCGCGCGCGTCTTGTCATTCACAATTCGAGTCATTAACCCAGTGCTGAATTGAAGGGTTGCACGCCGCGTCGCGTCGCGTTCGATCGATCGATCGGGCCCCTTTCTGCCTCGACCGAAAGGGCGCGCGTTACTTCGTGTTTACCCTCTTATGACTCACGCCGAGGCCGGTGGTAATTTTATTTTCGAGCGAGCGAGGGTCGTTTCGAGTTTCGAGCTATTTCGAGGGAGGCAAGAAAAAAAGAAAGAAAGAAAGAAAGATGAATAAAACGTTGATCTTTCTTAATCTTAACGTCGAGGAGCTCGTCGAATGGATCGAGAAGTGGATTAATTAAGGTGTTTGCTTAGATGCTTGTTATCTTATCGATTGAGGGGAGAATAAAAGAAGATGGGGTACGAGATATTGGTACAGTGATAAATGGATAGATGTTTCGAAGCAGATGCAAAAATACGTGTAATATATTTTATATATAGGGAATTTATGTGTATCGTCGCACGGAATGTAAAAAGGTACATGAATATTGTTAGATGAAATTTAAATGAATGTTAAAGAAAGAGCGGTTTCTTTACTTTACTTGAAAAATTTAATGCGAATTGTATGAAACGAGAACAAATATCCTATCTATTCCCAGAACCCGTAGAAAATTGTTTGCAGCGATTAATATTCTCAGGACACATTTCTCTAACAGAGAATATCGCCGAAATCGTTCGCCCGTGTTCCGAGATATTTCATCGTATGCGCAAAAAGTCTGCCGCCATGTCTCTATTCAACCAATGTTCTCCAACGATCGATCACGGCGATCGAAATAAATCATCGTCAATTTGCGCCACGGATTTCGTTCGCCGTGACATCCGACGACGCGTCCTAAAACTAATAGTTCCCGCGGCTTTCCAACACTTTTTGAACACTCGACATCCTTCGTTCGGGTAACATCCGACGTTCTTCCGAGCATTTCCGCCGGATGAAAAACGATTTAAATACGCGATGTTTCCCCGTCGATCGAGGAAAAGAAGAAAGATAAATCGCTCGAAGGAATTTCGCTTTATTTTCGAAAAAATTGATGCCGTGCCGATTTAATTGACAAGTCCGATCGGAAGAGGGGATGGATGGCTTTCTCCGTTACTGCGAAAATACGAAAATGGAAACATCAAAGTTAATCGACGTTCAATTTTCGCCAAATTCGAAGTTAGAACGATTCCATTGTACTTTCGTGCGATATTAATCACTGGAAATGTAACGGTTAACCCTCGAGCTTCCGGTGAATATTTAATCGATGGATATTGTACGTGTAGTGCAAAATCTTTCATTCTCTCGTGAATAAAATTATGCTAAGATTTGTGAAATTGTGAGAAGATCATTTTGCACGAATGTAATATAGATTTATCGGAAAAAATAGTAAAATATATGAACGAATAAGAGGTGAAGTTTAATACGAAATAAATTTTTGAATGAAACGATTATAATTCGACGATTAATCTTGGATAAAAAGTTATACACAAAGATGCGTAAAGATACATAAAGATCGTTATATAAAATGTATAGATAGAAAAAAAAAATATATAATAAAACCAATTTTCGTTTCGAGTTTAAATGTTTCGATCACTTATATATAAAAAAAAAATGTTGTTGTGGAAAATTATTTATGTAACCAATTACATCGATTGAGAATTGTACAAAGAATCGTGGAAAGTTTTTATTCTGTCGATTTGTTATTTTTTTTTTATCCATATTGATTTACAATAATCAAAAAAAAATCAGTATAAATCATTGTTTCAACCTTTTCATTTACACAAAGGTTCATCAATTCCGACGGAACAATTTAATTTATCCAATAGAATGTATCGATCGTGAATTGACATTCCAGGAAATGCAATATCTGTAAGCAATGCATTTCCGCCGAAGCGCGAGGTGGCAATGATTTATGCGACTGGATGATCAAGAAATGCAAAAGGAAGTATTGTTTTCGAGATTTCTAATTGATAGCGATCTCCAGGATCTCTGATCGCCAATCAATTCGGATTTATTAACCTCCAAGAGGAAGAAGAATTCGTCGACAGGCCGGATAGCGTAATTGATTAAATTAATTTCTCGCCGAGAGAAGGTTCCTCGTTTGAATTCTTGATTGAAATCACGTTTTGCTTCGCGATACAGCGAATCGCGTTGAAAAAAACACGATTTGAAAATTGTATTAAAAAAAATAATACAATCTTTTCCCGTTATTTTTACTTTTAACGATAAAATCGTTTAACCTTGACAAAAGTGGTTTTAAATTATGCGAATACAATGAGAATAGAGAATCATGCGTTTGCATTCCATTTACAAGCAAAACTTTACGAGCATTTCTAGAAACTATTCAGACGCATATCTTACACGAAGCCAAACTTCATGTGCCGAACACCCACTCGAACCTTCCCCAAAACTCTGCCATTCATGGTCCAAGCACACGAACTTTATTCATTCATAAAATACAAGATACTAGAAATAATATACATCCCACTAAATTAAATAAAACTTTAAACG